TTGCGAAACGCTGCAGCGAGTAACTGCTGGCCCTCGAGCACCAGCACCAGGAGACCAACGCTTTCAGGGTCGCAAGGTTCAAATTCTGTATCTATTCACCTAAAAATCACAGGCTTAATGTGACTGTGTGGTGTGTAGGCACGACAGCCCTCCGTACTCTAATTAATTCCTTACAAACAGAAAGCATCTACATTCCTCTTCCAGTGGTAATAGAGCTTTTTGTTATTATTGTTTAGAAACGAGTATGACTTTGAGGTTCATTAAAACCAAATGTTTAATTGCATTCATGGATATCGGATTTATTGATTTACTCAGCTTTCCCTGTATGGTACAGCAGAATAATATATAACAGTTTCATGTAATGCTGCCCTAGCCAAGTTTTACTTCAGCATCACAATTTCTCAGACAAGTATGCATTGATGGTTTATGTTGGCAGGGCCTTTGCTTCTGCTGACAAGTTGGAAAAGAAAAATCCCATTTATATTTTGAGATTTCCTAAAGCCTGTTGATTTATGAAAAATGACTGGCCTTGCGTTAGGTTTTGTTTGGGTTTTTCTTTTTAAGAGAGAAAAAAAAAAACCACATTTGACTTTATCGACGATTTAAACAGTGGAATTGTTCCATCAAATTGCATTTCCCTAATTGACAGATTCCTGGCAATCTAAACAGCAATTAATAATAAATTAATTATTTAAATTGTGTTTTCATTTCTTTCTCTTTGAGACGGAGAGATTTCTCCCACCATAGGCCATCTCATATATACATTCCCCATGTGTCCATATGCCATATAACGGCATACGGTAGGCAAATACCAGGAAATCATTAACATTCAGGGCTGATTAGCAGCAATGTGAATGTGGATTATTTGGTTCTGACCGTGAGACATGAGCAGGATTCAAACCCTGTTGAGAGGTAGAGTAAAATATTAACTCAGGCTCCAGACCACACTGAAGCTGCTTCCAGTTGGCTTGCAGCCTGTGAACTGATGTCTGGACATGCTGTATGGTATAGACTACGATTTTTTTTCCTCTCTCTCTGCTACCAGTTTTTTAGATAAGGTTTAGATTTTGTCTCTTGTCTTTCCTGACCAGCTCATTTGCAAGATCTTTCTGACTTCTCAACATCCAAATGGTTTGGGGAAAACACAGATGCCACGAATTAGGTACCTAGAGACCAAAAAGTTTATACTTTATACTGCATTTTTCCCAAATAATTATAAGCTTGGGAATTATGGTAGTCTTTTGCCTGGTGGAGTTTCTGGTAGAAGTCCCACAGATTTCAGTAAGTCTTAAAGAAAAGATGTCACTGAAATCCCTTTGGGGTTCTTTGTGTAATTTTTGATTGGGGATCTGTAATCCGATATGCTATTTACCATGCTGGAAGCCATGATATTATTTAACATTAATGCCTCCTGAAAAATGGAAAAGTTACAGCATTCTTTTCATTGGGAACGTAGGCTGGCTCAGGAGTGTTCAAGAGGAAGACACAAAAATGGTGTAGGAGTAACAGAGGCTTTTTTGAAACACCTGACAGAAGTGGAAGGAAAAAGTAGTCATGGATTTATTTTATTTACATCAAATTCTTAGTACTGAATGACGGGTAGGTATTCATCTAATCCTGCCACACCAAAAAAAGTAAAAAAAAGAAACCATAGCTTTTGACTAGTTATATTTTTAAGGTGATGTTCTTGGCACTGATTGATGGGGGAAAAATGCAACTGCAGGAAAAGAAAATTAGTCAAAAGTAAAGAGCTGGCCAAGAAAATTCATATTCGATATTGATTATCTTATTACGGGTGATCATAAGCCAGGTGTTGATATCCTGTAGGCAGCACTCAAAGGATTCAGTGCATTAACTGAAAAATATTGTTTTCCTTTATGCCAAACCTGCAGATCATTTTTTTGCCATGGGATTTCTTCATATGCAGTGGTGAGGCTGTTCTTGAAGGCTCGTGCAGTCACTTGGGATGGGAATCTCAGTGGCAAGTTGAATGGGCTGCCCTGGCTCCGGCATGATCAGGAGAAAGCAAAATTAATCACTTTGGTATCTGGTTATTTGTCCATTTCCTCTGCAGATGAAGAAAATGAGGGGTAAAGAAATGGTTATTTTATTATATTAGACAGTAGCTGGGTGTACAAGGGGTCCATTGGAAACCTGACGTTGATGTGGCGTGTTTTGGCTATGAGCTCTTGACAAGTTGCTGGCTTTTAAAAAAAAAGTTTAAAAAGGGAAAGCTTTACCTGCTAAAATGATAATCTCTCCCTTTCTAGTGCAAATAATTAAAATTATTCAAGTCTGTATTTTTTAAGTTAATGTTCTAAGCTGTGTAAAGTTTAACATTAAAAAGGAAACCTTCCATGGTTTTATGTTGGTTTTGAGTTGTCAGTAACGGGAGGTGGGTCAGGCTGGCCCATTTCAAGCAGTGACTAATGGATTTCTGCCTCCGTTGCTGGTTCCAGCTGCCTCTAAAATGAAATGATTAATTGCACAAGGGAAAGACAACAATCCTTATTTGATTGTGCTGATTACAGAGTTGCTGATTATCGGAGCAAAGGGAATAGGTTGTCCTAGTTTCCTAAACTCTTCAAGGAACGCGGCAGATCGGAAAATAATTTAGAGCTGTTGGGTATCAGGTTACTCAAATCACGGGGTGACCTGCTCGGAGTGTCTCGTATGTCCTGCATGCCGTAGTGTGTCCTGGCTGTAGCTACAAGGTTTGCTGTGATAAATCAGTCCTGCTTTTCCAGTTGTGATCCATCATACCCAGCATGCCTGTGCACTGGGTACGTAATATATCTTACCTGATTTGCCAAGGAAGCTACAAATGAATGAGCAGACCCTGATTCTTGGTTCAGATCAGGCAGGCTCCAGCGAATGCGGTTGCATAGGCTTTCACATCATGGGTTTCCAGTGTTGTGGGTTTTTTTCCTCTTGGAATTCTGGCTGTTCTAGTTAACAGTAACATGGTCATCTGTTGGCTTGGCTGAACTGAATGCTTGGAATGGTTAGGAGGTCAAAGACTTTGAGTTTCTTCATCATCTCTTGCTAAGAATAGAACGGCTAGGGCAGCTTTTTCCTGATAATTTTATTTCTTATTTTTAAATCAGTCTTTATGGTCTTATTAAACTGCTTCTGGGTCCTTCCTCTTTTTCTTTTTTCTTTTTTTCTTCTTTTAGCTTTCTGCAGAAGAATTGGATAGAGATATGTATTGATCTCACAATAGTTGTTCTCTTTTACCTTTTTTTGCAGTACAGACAGAAATAAAAAGAGCAGACACTTCCTGTACACCAAAAAAGGCACCCTAATAAAATACAGCCAGCTTTGGACTGAAAATATTTGCTGTTTAATAGGATCATAGAATCGCAGAATGGTTTGGGTTGGAAGGGACCTTAACGACCCTCTAGTTCCAACCCCCACTGCCATGGGCATATATGGACGGTATAGAGCAGTTTAGAAATTGTGGAAGAATGCCTTGGCCAATTAAAAGTTTCCTGGAATTCTAGGTAGATGGATTGTAATTATTGCTGCTGAAACTTTGCCAGTGCTTGGGGATTAATGCCTTTACATTTTAAAGACAGGGAAGAAATTTGTAATGCAGAGCACTCTTCAGTGGGGTATCTAATTTGATGAATGCTTACAAGACCCCATAAGCAAATGCTTATGTCTAATTTAGAAAGGAGAAATAGGTTTTAAAGGGTGCCTTTCACCGGTCACACAGGTACTGAACCAAACCTGGTGTCCAGCTCAGTGTAGGAATTACATAGGGCTTTCCTGTGTGGCTGTCAGCATGTGCTCAGGGTGCAAGTTAGACGCTTTCAAGACAGGCACAGAATACTAAATTCCTTTCTCTTTCAGTAATTTCTACCTGAGCCCTGTCTGTAAACCTGCTTCACGCCTTCTTATGCTGTGCCAGTCCTGATGTAGAGGAGAGCGGTGTTCTTGCTCTGTGGTCTTACACTTGCAGTTAAAATTACAAATTCCTCTGGTATTGCTGGAGATTGTCCTACTTTATCCCATATAGTACCAGAAATCCTATTCCGGCATGTGCAGACCGTGAACACCCACACCACACTGCCTGGATTCCCTGGACTGAGAAGGAGATTCAACTGGAAAGATATTCAACATTTTGTCAACTTTGTTTTCCTGTAGCAGCTCCGAATTATTGGGCAAAGCCCAGCACAGGAACCCAAGCATGGCCTTTGATTTGCTGAGTTGACTGGAGAATACGGGGAGAGAGTTTTTTGGTTAGCAGGCAGCAAGTGAAGCCCAGAACTGGTTTCACATCCTGGATTCTGCCACATGTTTCTGGGAGCAAGGTGATGTTATCTCTTTTCAAACCCCTCTTTCCTCTTTGCATACTGTAGCTTAAAGCAGTGCAAAAGTGCCTTCATTGGTGGACAACCTTTGAGATCCTCAGAGAGCAGGTGGTACTGCAGTAACAAAATATTATTTTGGGTAGTAAAAGGAGTTAAACAGGAATCCACTGCGCAGTATTTAATAATCTGCTTCGATACCACAATGACTTTTTCATCTGGCAGAATTGATGCTTGCAGCAACATTTGGTTTAAAAGCTATAACTCACACTGCGGATTATAATGAATACTTTCACTCTGTGCCTTTTCCTGCAAAAGGATTTCACCACACTTTCGTTCATTTCTTTTTGCTGTGAGTCCTTAGAAGCGCACACGTCGTGACTCCACTGGGCGATGGCAATGCATCACTGGGAGAATGGAAAACACATAAAACAAATATAATTTTGTTCTACAGTACAGTACTTCGGAAGTGGAAAATTTTCTTTGAGCCATTGCTTCTTTCAAAGTATCGTGTGCTGTAGTGACAAATAGATACCTTTGATCTTTCCTGCTCTGCTCGACCATGACACTGTAAATCAGCGATTTGCTTTTTCATACTCCATCATTATTAAAACCCGTTGTAACTTTGCTGCAGACACACATATGTTAGCTCTTGAAAACTGTGCGTCTTGCTCTCTTCTATAACAGGGGAATTATTGCATTTGAAAACAAAAGCTACATTCTGGAGCCATTAGAAGGTGCTACAAGTGAACACAAGATCTACCGAGCAGAGAATTTGAAAATAGCCTCAGGATCTTGTGGTCACCAGCTGGACATCTCTGCCCTGAGAGCTGATGGCAATGACACGTCACACCGTTCTCAAGCTGGCAGGGTAGGTGGATGATGCACTTTTATGTTCCTGATTTGCTGTGTACTCCTCTGGCAGCATTTCCATATCACTGCCTTCCATAGCCCTTTGTTTGTCCCTACTGAGCAAAACATGAAACCATCGAGTCAACTCCTATTGCCATCATGTGCTTAAAACTAGGTATATAATTCCATGATTTGCTGAAGTTTTATTTCTTTTTCTTGACCCTGCATGCATAGCTTGCTTTTTACTTACTTTTTGGTAATGACATGTCACAGCAAAGTTTGAGGTTTCATATAATGGGAATATATTCTGGTTCAGATATGGTTACAGCCAGTATTTTAAAAACCTGTAAGAACACTGAGCAATGTCTGGAAAGGTTCTCGCCCACCCAGGATGGAAGGGAACACAATAGCTGTGATGCTTTGCTAATATTAGGTTACAAACCTCTACATCCTAATAGGAAAGTATCTTATGTAGACAAAGCAGATTCACACTATCTTATTTTACAGATGTATTATTGTAGTTGTTTTTATGTAGGAAGAAACGCATTTAATGTCAAATGCATCTAGCTAATGGAAGCTGTAGAAAATTAAATGAGCTAAAAATCAAGAAGAGGAAATACCGTGATAAGTTCATCTGCATGTCAGATGAGGATGGTAGAAAAGACTGATTTAGGTGTTCAGAAATTATGCAGTGATACAAATCTGCCTTCAGCATTTATTAAATGTCATATATTGGGATTTATACTTCCATTTATTGCTAAGCCTTTGCATCAGGTTACTTGTTAAGGAAAACAACCTAGATGGCTTCCGTAGATATTATTTATGTACTGGAATTAAGATTATTTTTTTTACATTTTAGGAAAATTAAATATTACATCTAATGCATTAGCCTTTGCATATATCATTTTATGGGCTAAGCACATTTCTAAATGTGTGCAGGTTGAAAAGTACTTTTCATAACTTTATTATAGCTTCCCTGAAAACCTTTGCAACTTTTGACTGAATTTCACAGAAGTGATCAATGTAACCCTAGGAAACTGAAATAAACTATGTATGTACCAACTAGATGATACAATCAAAGCAATTTTACTCTTACCCTCATGGTTCTCATATTTTGTTGATGGCTTCAACTATGTGCCAGAATTCACCTTGAATATCTGAAAGGTATTTTTTTTGCTATGGTTCAGTGGACATAATTATAAAACCTGTCAACAGTCACGTCATATGGATAGGTACAATATATATAATGAGTATGTTGGATGCGCTCCTAATGTATGAATTCTGAAAGTTGTCAAATGTAATGTGTGAAGTGAGTGTTCACATCTCAGGGTTGTCATCAGCTGAGTAGACTGTCAGGAGACACTGAATAAAGATGACCTGCAAAGTATGGAGACATAAAGCTGCTCCAGATTGCACTGGGTGACAGAAGTAAACAGAAATCTGGTCTCAGATTTAGGGCATGATGAAAATTTTTGGCTTCTTGATGGATTTGTGGGGAGCTTTTTGGTTTGTTCTGGGTTTTGTTTCGTTGTTGTTGTTTTTTTCCCTGACCCTTCACTCTACTACCTACGCTGAATTCTTCCTGAGCAGAGCTGAAATGTGAGATCAATATATCACAAAGTCAGACTAGCCTTTGGGTTGGATTTAAGTGCAGATAAATGATGGGGCAAACAGTAGACTTAGCTTCCCAGATTCAAACACGAGATTTAACGGAGCAAATCAGGTAACGTCTCAGATCTGTGCAGTCGCATTTTGCCCCATTGGAGCTGGGGCTCTATAAATACTGGATCATTCCATAACTCGGTGGACCCTCAAATTGCAGCAGGGACTGTGTTTTCCACTCGAGCTCCATTGAGATGGGATCCTACAGAGAGCAAACCTGATGTGTAAAACAGCCCCTACAATATGGCTTTTTCTCCGTAGCCACACAGAAAGCTGTTTTGGTGGTGCTGGTGGACCACAGGTGAGCTGTTTGGGGCAAGTGGATCACAGAGGAAGAGAGAGGCTGCAACACTGCGGTGTGAATCCAAACCATGGCAAGTCCAGGCAAAAGCAGTTTTGGGATAGGATCAGGCGTGGTGGAAGCAGGGGAGAAAGATGATGTTCAGTGGAACGAAACACGTCTCCCGTCGTGTTTATCTATCGTGACTATATCGTTGACTCTTCATTTTAGTTCTGGAGGCTTAACTCAGGCAATGGCTGATGTTGCTGACCCAGGCAATGTGCATCGATGCTGTTGGCTGGAGAAAGCAAGCTGAAAGAAGTCATAATTAGGTATATTTTAGAAATAAATAGTGTATCTGAGGAATGCACATAGCCTCTGGGCATGGATTCCTTATGCAAGTCGGTCACCAGAGGCTTACATGATTAGACCTTCCCAGCCAATTTCTCTCAGGCTAATTCTCTCCAGTCCAAACAGTTTTACTCTTAGTAAGAAGTAAACGGTTTAAACTGACTCTTCTTATATCTCTGTACCTGGATTTTCATGTCACATCTTTTACCCATCGTTTAGAAGACTAGAGGCATCTTGGGGGTACATCTCTGATCAGTACCACATAATAAATTTCAGGTTTATGTTAGAATTTTAGTGTCTGAGAGATTAATTTCATTACAAACAACACTCACATGGTCATTTGCCTTATGTGGCATTGCACTTACGTCTCATGTATTTTGCAGGGAGGTAAATCAAGCTCTGCCAGAGCACTGTAGGTTCTGTTGAAGTCTACTGAGGTGTGCCAGGCTCTTTGTATGGCATCTGCTGCTGGTTCAGGAGCAGCAAGAAGGGATGTGCTGACTCCTTGGCATCCTGGTTCCCAGCTAGCACATCACCGGGCACTGCTGGTGACCTGTGTGGCAGATGAGGCAAGGGCATGGGCACCAAGTCTGTGGACACTCCATGGCCCCGTGGTAGTGACAGTTCCCTCAAGCAGAGCCCAAGAAGATGACAGAGAACCCCGATACCAGAAGAAGTTGTAAGAATATCCAGCTGTGCTCATTTGCCAGACCCCCTAATAAGTGTAATCCTGTGAAGTGTTTGTATCATTGATGTTTAGTTCATTAAAGCTTTTACTGCTTTCTCGGTTCATAAATACTGCTCAAAGGGAACTTAACTGCTTTCCAGTTACTGTAGTTTGAAGGCTGTGTAAGACTATTAAATATGAGTTTGAAAGTCAGAGTTACTAAAGGTTACATCTGCTACTTTCCTCTAAACACAATGCTGCTTGCAAAACATTTAAAATCATTAATCTGCAAATCATGAAGAGGAATCCTTTGGTAATGTGAAGAAAACTTTCTGAAATTTGGCTGGAAGATGATGTCCAGTGCTGACTTAGCTTAGGGGGATCACAGAGTTTGCCTTGGAACAGTTTACTTTGGAAAGCTTTACTCATGTTTCAGGTTACAGAGCATTGGTTTAGTGCAAGACATCATGGTCATTAGGAGGTCAGACATCTGCTTAAGCTCCTTAAGTTCTGGCACGAAGATCAGATGTACTGCTGAGACCTCTTTTCCCTAACTGCCTTATTCCAGAAACAAGGGAGGAATGATAGAATAGAAGATCAGCTGCTGTAAATCACAGAACTTTTACAGGCATTAATAGGTCATTTAGATTTAGGGTAGCAGAGGAGCTGTGCTATGATTAAGTACTTTTACAAAATTGTTTCATTTTCTTCAGCGATCATTTTGCAGCTAAGCATTATGATTCTTTTAGACCTCCACTTAGAATTGCAAGTAGTGTGGCCAGCTCTTTTATGTGAATATACGGATACAAACCTAAATGTATGCCTTTTGTTTTTAGGGCATTAGTTTGCTTCCCCAAACACTGACAGTTCATTCCATTTTGTTTCCACAGTTTTTGTTCTTGAGTTTTTCTTTTTACATAATTTATCAGTTGATCACTTGATCTCTATTTCACTCAATATCCCTTTATCTCTCATTTTTCACGGTAGCCAGTTTGTTTGTTGTGTGAAATGTTTGCTAAAAGTCATATCATCATTTCTTTAAATGTGCCTTGGAACTAGCAAAGGTCTTTCTGCTAGAGATGATATTCTCCTGCGAGGAAAGATAACTCAAACATTTCCACTGCAGAAAGCTCAGAGGTTGAGAGAGACTTTGTACCATTTTTCTGCTTGGTGTGATCAAATCCTGAGGTTGTCCGAGGTGGTTTTTTTTGTAAGTACAAAGTAGACTATTTCTACTGCAGTAGGTAAAAGGAAAACTTCCATGAAGAGGACAAATATACTAATAAAATTGTATGCAGTGAAATATCTGGAAATCTGGAAATCTGTGTGTCATCTCCTCTTGCAAGCACTTTGCTGGACTGAAGGCAGAGCTGATTTCAAGAGTCCCTTATTGCAAAAAACCGAAATACTATTTTCATCTTTTTTGGCAGTACAAGAGGGAGACTCTGAAGACAACAAAGTACGTGGAGCTTGTTATTGTGGCAGATAATCGCGAGGTAAGAAACATAAAACTAAAAAGTTATGGGAAGCATGGGTAGCTCAGCTCAGTTGAGCTGCCAAGATATTGCAAGTAATGTGCTTCAGGCACTAATAGGATGATTTTCGGTGGTAAATCTTCTTCCCTAACTAGGGCTAAGCAGTGAAAGGTGCGATTCAGATAGGACAACACTAGTAGTGTTGATGCAATACTTCATCAGGAATTTCACTCTCAAGTAACCAGGATATCTGGCAGTAACTGAAGAGGCAAATACGAATTCACTGCTCAGGATCTCCTTGAGCTAGTTAAGTGTTTGCTGCCATTGACTCTGCCCTCGACGAGATCGTCACCATTTGGAAGAGAGGTTGGATCCTGTGCTCACTTTTGAAGCAGTACTTTACTATCACTTTGCATGAAGCACGACTGGTTTCCTCGTGGTTTGCAAAGAGAGCTTCAAAGCAAGGAGCCAGGGCTGGCTGTAGAAATGTTCCAGTGAGTAGAGTGGCAACCAAAGATCTAAACCTTGGTTTGGATTATTTTGCTACTTATGGGCTGGCTGTAGAAATGTTCCAGTGAGTAGAATGGTAGCCAAAGATCCAAACCTTGGTTTGAATTGTTTTTCTACTTACATTTATTTTTGTGTCCTTGGACATTGCTAGTTAGGGAATCACGATCACTCTGCTTACTGTTAAGAGCTCACGAAAGAGCGTGTCCTTGGACATTGCTAGTTAGGGAATCACAATCACTGCTTGCAAGAGACATTAAACGCTCACCAAAGAGTCTTTTCTTTTTCACAAAACGTTAGTCCCTGAAAGATCACTGCATAGACTTCAGAATTTTAAAATCTTTTCATGAGAACCAAAATCCTATCCCATAGCCTGTGCTTATTCTGGGAGAGACTGTGGTCCCATGAAGCCCCAAGCAGTCTGACAATGGCCTTTGGTTGCTCGATGTAATTCCCAAATAGCACTGACAATGCTGACAGAGTAAGGTGGCTGTTGGGGAAACTATATGATATTTGTGCTGCTAGTACACTGATCCTTTGCATTCCAAGTTTCAGAGACAAGGCAAGGATGTGGAAAAAATTAAGCAGAGGCTGATAGAAATTGCAAACTATGTTGATAAGGTAAGAATATGAGCATCATTTCATTTTCCCCAAATTTGCTACACTTTCTGAAGGATGTTGCTGTGAAATCGATGTTTCTTGCACTAGTGAATTAAGAAATCTGTGATATCAGATCAGCAGCTTTTAAAACCTTTGCCACATCTCCTTATCCACCTACTTTTCCAAGGAGCTAACCCTTCTGCTTTCCTAATGCTCTAGGATTTCGGTGAAATGCTTCCCTCCAACCAGGAAAAAAAAAAAGTAGACTTAAACCTTTCATATATCCTTCAACACACTAAGCTGTGAGCTCTGCTCTGCTGTACATGCTGTAGAAGCGGGAGGTGAACAATTTAGACCTAGGATTTTATTAACCTGCGAAGAGAGTGGTGATAATCTCATGGAATAGCCCACAGAAAAAGAATTATTTTGAGGAGGAAATGGAGAACAAAGTCCTCTGCAGCATCAGGGGACGGATGGACCATTCATAAGGCCAACAAAGGGCCAATGAAGACACAGTCAATGAGATATATAGCCCAAGGAAGATGGCAGAATTAAAAACTTGTGCTTAAGAAAGCAAAAATTGATGGCTGAGTGAGAGTGATAAGAAAGACATGCACTGGATTTTTTCTGTACTTGAAGCCATTCCTTGACAAAAAGCAATAAACAGTAAGAGTCCTCTGTAGTGTTTTTTGGACAAATTATAGTTTATTTTTATTATGCTGTGTGGCCAGAAAAAATTATGAGTCTGGTAGTGAAATTATAACTGAGGGAGTCTTAATTTAGCTGAGAACTAATCAAGTGATACTTCAAGGGCAATAACTCAAGGAGAAGCATGCTTGATTAAAAACAAGCTGCTGAAGACAACTCCACCTCTTCCATAATTGTCTTGCTGACTTATTACTGGAGGACAGGTGTTTATATGTTACCTGCTCAAAATTAATTTTGCATGTTCTAATATATTTATGTTTCATGCTTAATTTATGCTCAGCAAATGCCGCTGTTATCCAAATGACTGTAATGCATATAAACAAGACAAAGATCTAGTATGTGCTTCTCCCAGACTCTCAGCCAGATCTGAACTTGATCGATTCTTGAATCCATCTTGACATTAGTCTCACATTAGAATTGTTATCTCTGCTCTATTACTAATGCTGCTCCGGCATCCCTCTTGTAGCAACCGTGGCATTTCGAGTTGGGATAATAGTCTGTGTAGACCATGGTGTGAAAATCACTTGGTTTTATCTGCTGTGAGCAAGACTCCATGACTCTGGCTAAATTTTCAGCCACTCTCTTAAGCGCCAATAGTAGTACAGCACAGTTGACCCTACCTCTTGGGTTGCATTGGTGATCGTGATGGGGAGCAGTCACAGAGAGATTCACCTGCCGTAGCAACACGTTTGTTGGGAAGCGAAGGACATGGGAAGGTAGTTGCAGCATTTCGTCTTGACGGATGATACGAAACTTGGGTGGGCATTGGAGAAATTGCCTATTTCTGGATCTCTTTGAACGTCTTGTAGGTATTTAGTCAGGTCAGAACTGTTACCTCTAAGTCATGGAAGTATTTTCCCTGAGTCAGTCCTACCAGATGTTTGCCCTGGACAAGAGGCCGTCTAAGCCTCAGCAAGAAAGGTTCATATGCACATTATGCTTCTGTCGAAATATTCTAATCCAGTGTGGTTTAAAATGGATTTTGGAGACGTGTTTCTATTTTTCTTTTCTCATTAGTTCTATAGGTCACTAAATATTCGAGTAGCCCTGGTTGGAGTGGAAGTATGGAATGACATGGATAAATGCTCTATTTCTCAAGACCCTTTCACCAGCCTCCATGAGTTTCTGGACTGGAGAAAGCTAAAACTACTACCTCGTAAACCTCATGACAATGCACAGCTGATAAGGTAGACTTGACACTATGTTTAATGCTGGCCGGTATTACGATACTTAGGTATTCTAATATATTAAAATAGGTATTATAACACTGTATAGGTATTCTAATATTTATACTATTATATACTTATATATACTTATATAAGATACTTATATACTTATAGGATACTTATATATACTTATAGGTATTATAATACTTAGCGTATGAATTTACAAGAAGTTTAAGCTGGTTTCGGTCTAAATTGTTACTGAAAAGGGGCACTGCTGCCCTCACACCAAAAGTAGAGCCAAAGGAGCACTATGTGGAGTCTCTGTGTTGGTAGAAAGATCTCAGTAAACCTTGAAATGTGGTCTAAATTGGACAAGTCATTTGCATTTGTGACTTTAAAATCAAATCATTTACATCTTTTACACTGCTGCTGTTTCCTGGATTGAAGTAATTAAGTAAACATGCTCAAAGTAAAAGCACTCTTAAAAAAAAATTTAAGAGAAGTACCTCTTTCTTGAACTATGTGTCATTTTGATCAATGGACCATTCTATATACTATAGAGATAAATACACCTGATGTCTTAGCAATTAAAAAGAAGCTCTTTACTCAGTACGTAGATATTCCTACGTTATCTGTCTAAGAATAGAGTGAGCCCTTCCAAACTGTTTCCCGTGAGATATTTGATTACTGTCTATGTACAATAGTACTTTGTTGGAATGATTGCATTCTAGGCTGTGTATTATAACAAGTAGCATATAAACTTCCCACTACATTAAAATAACCCTTCTTTGAGCTGGAGACATTATTTTTACATTTGTATTTCTATTCCAAACATCCAGCGAGGGGGAAAAAAAAATGGGAAAGAAGGGTCCTGTTGCATCAGTAAACCCAAAAGACACTCATCAAATGGATCTTTCTCATAGCAGGGATGCTGTCATTGTCGGTCTGGCAAGTCGGCACGACTAATCTGTGCTTCTCATTGTTTGAAACCTGAAAATCTCTGGAGCCGACACATATGAAATGGGACCTTTGTTTGGGATTGGCAGAAGTACAAGACTGAAAATAACAGGCAGCTATCTTGGCACTGAATGGTGATTCTGTGATTCTTCTCCTCCTTTCCCACCCTCCCGCAGCGGGGTCTACTTCCAAGGGACCACCATTGGCATGGCGCCCATCATGAGCATGTGCACTGCCGAGCAGTCTGGAGGGGTCGTCATGGTAAGTGGGAAAAGCACGAGACTGGAAAACTGCCTGATGTGTGCAACACCATCTCAAGTGTCGTAGCGCTGTATTCCGTACCAGAACACCAGCCCCATTTGCCCCGTCTTCAGTCTCTATACCATCTATATCTATGTGCGCATTGCTTGTAAAAAATAGATTCCACAGTGAAAAGAAATCAAAATATTACGTTACAATATTGTGTGACCTCTTTGCAAGAATCCTCTGCTCCTAGTTACTATTAAATCAGGTGCTGAGGTGCTGTGAATGAAGAGAACCAGAAGATGTTATTTGTTATGCGCTTGGGTGTACTAGTGTTACAGGCAACAACAGTCTATCCTGAATCTTCTGTTATATTGATTTTATTCAGCATTTACAGAGTTTCCAGTGTAGGACCTTGTTTTCCATCTTTGCAGCACAGTGGTTTTATTACATTGCCAGACAAGAAGAAACTATGGCAACATCTATTCTACCTCAAAGATATATTACTGGTGCTGTTGTTAGATGCTAGACATGATGAACATAAAGGTAAACAGCCTGCTTCTGGAATTAGTTCTTGAATATTTTAAATTTTTAACTGTTTTGTACAAAGGAGGGAGAAGGAATTTTATGTTAACTAAGCTTTGCCATTGACGTACCTAAAAAAATTAGATGTGGATTCTCCTACTAGCAGACTCAGCCTATAAAACTCAGGTGGGAGCTCAGGAGCACACAACAGTCAGAGTTTGCCTGATCTCAAAGCTCCCAGCTCTTCAAAGCTTCATGGACACTGGGACACTAAAGCTTTTGCTTCAAGACAATCCACACAGGGAGGTAATCCCAGAGACACAGCTCCTGCATTTGCTTCATTCTTAAGTAGCATGCAAGCTGAGGTTGGTCCACAATGCAGGACTCCTTTATGTTCTCTTGGACAAGGAGGCAAGAAGCCAGGCTGAGGTGATGTGTGCACTCATGGAAGATGATGTATGGATGGTTCAGAGTGGGAGGATTTATGAGGTGAGCAGGGAAGCTGAGGTATAAGAAAGAGTGGGAAAGAACAATCAAGTCACCTAATTTGGAGAAAATCGTGTTCAAATTGTAGAAAAGACAAAGGCTTCAGTCTCTTGGTAGCTTTAGAAGCTGAGTCTCTAGTAGGTGTTTGCTACAGCTTTTCATTGGGTACTTGGGGGATATATATGAGAGGAAAAGAGGAAGAAAAAGGTGAAGGAACCTCCTTGCACACTTCCAGACCTTGGCAGAAGCACGTACGAGGCAGACAGCCCCATTGTGTCCATTCACCCTCAGGCCAGCAGTCACTGCTTTGGCTTTATCTGCAGTCAGAGATGCCCTTAACGATGGCTTCTTTGTTCTTTTTTGTTTTAGCATAAGCTTTAAAACATGCTACAGTGTTTTACTGCAAAGTCAGTCCTCTTTGCTCTGGAAACTGTCATTTGAAACAGAAACAACAAAACATATTTCATTCCAGTAACAAGAAAACAAGAATCAGCATTTCTTTAAAGAGCTCTTAGGGCTCTGACAGAGGAGAGACTGATTTATAAGTCCAGGAGAAGCCCCACGTCTGTGCACGAATTGTGGCCAGGCTGCAGCTTCGGTGGTGAAGAGGAGCACGACATTTCCCGGGGACTCCTACCTCAGTGAACTGGAATTTTGAGGTGCAAATTAGCTCGAGGTTTGCACAGCAGAACTAGGAATGTTTTCCAGTTCTTTAAGCAAATCTTTAAAAAAGAGCGAAATCCAAAAGGAGCAAACTCTCACCCCCAAAACCCAAATGGGCAGCTTTCCAACCTGCCTCCCTGCCTCAGTTAGCGAAGGCTAATTAAAGTGTCTACAAAATAAGTTTTTATATATATGGGTAGCTACAGAAGAATGCTCTAAATGCGGAAGATGCACAAATGAAAGAATGAACAACTGTTAACCTGGGAGGCTACAGGGCTCAAATGTCTCAGCAGTGGGCAACGGAACATTTGGCCATCTGTATAATCCAGCCAACCTCTTAGCCATCCCACTCAATACTAGAAAGCTCCCACACTGTCAGAAGTGATCTGAAAGAAGAGACAAGGGTGAAATTGCAGAAGAAATAACATTGGAATACAAAAATTGGAGTCATGCCTCTATTATCTGATTTTCCTGACTTTTACAGTTGCTTAACTCTATTATATGATCGAAATTCCTCTGTCGTGTCTCCCTGAGAGCCTCTCTCTACTTTTCCATAGGGCTGAATTCTCTCAGTGGTAGGTGACACCCTGTCTCCCCCGAATTTTAAAAGAAACTCAAAGTGGGAAGAGAAGACATCTGAGCATGAAACGCATTTGGTGTTTCAAGAGCATTATAATTTTATTTTACAGTGATGATTCTGTCGTGTTGTAGAAAGAACAGACAAAAGTTCACACTTTGACACCTGCCTCGGTCTTCCTTCTCTTTCAAAAGGTTGCCCACCAAATTAATGATTTTAAAAGTGAAATATCGTTGTGCTGCTGTAGTGTGGTAACCTCAATCATGCCAAATTTCCATTGACTTTGGTGGCAAATCAGGTTGAATGACAAGTGTGGAACTGAGGCACTTAAACATTCACTTACAATTCACTTCCAGAGAATTACTTAAATGAAATAAAAATGTGGTTTAGGAAACTTATTACGACAACCGAGTGTAACTGCAGGGAAAGTACGAGGAGTGGGGGATTTGCCCGTTCTAGCTGTAGGCGATAATATTTTATTATTACAATTTGACCTGATCATGGTGGGATGAAGCAGAGCTCAGCTGAAAGCAGCTGCATGTTTTGTGCAACAACTTATAATGTCTTAACAGTGGATGGCTGCTTGGTCAGTGGTAGTGAAGCTGTTTGGTAATGTGCTCAAGTTAACTTTAAAAGGCCCTAATTGAATAAATCAAAGTCACACTGCTATTCATTTCTTTAGTCCTTGTGATACTTTAATGGTCTCAGTATCAAATGGGACATGTCTCTGTTTGTTTTGATAATCCTCATTTATGCTGTCTTCAAATAACCTCTTTTGCTGAGACATCGCATTCCTTGTTTTAAAAACCCTCTCTACAAACTGATAAAATTGCATTCCAAGTGGATCTGAGCAAGTAATGAGAACCGCATGGCCTGTAATAATTGTTTGCCTATTCAAGACCCAAATTGCATTTCAGACCGTTTATTGCTCAGTCCTGGAGTGGACTGTGTGAATTCTTGGTTTTATTTTTAATTGCCAGCTTTAGAGTTGTTCAGATAAATACAGTCTCTGTTCAACGAGTAGAAGAGATACAGGCAAAATAAAGAAAAACTGAGATCAGTGTGTTGTCACTGTAGGTAGCTCGAAACTTAGAGGTTTCTATCTTGACCACATGCCCTCATTTCAAGGCATCACTCCAATGTGTTGCTGGTAAATTATATGGAAATATTTCTTTACTTTCTTAATCTTTGCTCCTGGATTGTTTTCCAGTTGAGTGGGAGGTTATTCTCTTTTTATGACATCAGGTTCGATTACATTGAATTCTCTAAATACTTCATAAATTACTATAGGTACAAAGATAATTCAATCTGTATGAGACTAGGATCTAGATAAGCCATCTCCATATGTAGGCGTTGTGCAGGAGTGTGTACCTTCTTGATTAGTACAGATCATTTTGCTACATGGGTTTGCTCTGTTGTTGCTTTTACTGGGACAGGTTTTACAGCTTCTTTCAGAAAACAGTCGTCTTAGAATATAACTGCCTCCAAACTGGCTGTTATATTAGTCACAAGGTTCTCAGATTAAAATTTTAAAAATCAGGAAAAAATGAGAAGACATCCTATGTTAAAAGATAAAATTCTGTTGAGTTTAGTCCAAATGCTGAAGAAGCTATTTCTTGTATTCAGATTGGCCATACTCTCTTTTTGATTTTGTTTGGTATTTGAGAAATTATTTGCTAAAAATATTAGCACAGACAGATGAAAGAAGGAACTCTTAAATCTACCCCAAGTTATGTATTAAGGACTTCTTTAATATATAGCTAATGTTTTAGACAGATTTATTTCTCGCTTCTTTTTAGTTTGAAGGTTCACTTAGATGATACTAAAAGAGTTATTTAAGCTGAATATATTCATATATGCTTTTAGAGCAGGCTGCTGTACATAGTAATTCCATTTACTGACTGATAAATAGTGGATCGTGCATTTATATTACATGTTTATGCCTTTAGGCAGAGCTTGCACATGACTACAGTGGATTTTTTTTTCCCTCAAGGAAAATGATCGATGTGGAAAGGTCTCTTACTTGTGGTTAAGCCAAAACCTCAGTCTGATCAGCAGCCTGTAATCAGATCATGCAGTGAATTTCTCAGAAATAACTGGCCCAAAAATCAGCATTTCAATGAGGATTAATATTAATATTTCAGCTTGACACTTGCAACATTTGGAATATTCATAGGTGGTTACAAGAGGCCGTTGAAGATTTCGATTTGCTTTGTCCTTTCATTTTAAAAAGGAAGTTTTCGAATGTACTTGGCTTTTTTTACAAGACTTGTGTAATCTTGGACTTTCTGATATTAAAGAAACAGAATATTAAATATACCAAGTGCCATCTCTTGCTGCATGTGTAATTTACCTCCTGACACGAAGGACCTTCTCACTTTTCCCTCATCACACTCATCCTCACCCTTTTGAACACTTCACCTCTGGATTACCTTTTTCTGCCACTGCCGTGTCCTGGGAATGTGAGGAATTTATTGAGAATGGAAATTTTAAGCCCTAAATAAAGAGATGGCCCAGTTATTCGAAGCTGCCCAATGGCCCCACGTGTCAAATGTGCTGGGGAAACTAGGTGGCCAGGACAGACAGGCTGTCCTGAAATTCCTCGTTTGCACTTGGTGTGTGTGTGGATGAATTTAAAATTGCATCCATTTAACAACAGTGTAACTACAGCTGGTATTTTGAATTGTTTGTATACGCTGACTTGACTAGTCCTTTTTTGGTTTGTGTTTTTTTAAGGATCATTCAGAAAACCCTCTAGGTGCAGCCGTGACACTGGCTCATGAGCTGGGACACAATTTTGGAATGAATCACGACACGCTGGAGAGGGGCTGTAACTGCAAAGCGTCGACCGATAAGGGAGGTTGCATCATGAACCCCTCTACTGGGTAAGTATGAGGGTAAGCACTGGCAAGTTATTTACAGTGGGAAATATTCTGTTTCATTTTGTGTCTGAGGAGCATTTAAAGGGAAAAAAGAAAAACCTCTTCAACACCCGACAAATCTTCTCGCAGTTCTGCCCCTCAAGCTGAAACCATTAAACTTGTTATCAGAGCAGGGTAGGTACAGTTGTACTTTCACATTTCCATGTTAGCAGTGTGAGAGACAAAAAATGCTATAACTGGTTAATTTAAAAGAAACAAACACACAAAACCAGCAAAAAAAACCCTGACAAACTGCACTGCAAGTGTTCAATCAGAATTCCACTGTCTCTCATCTTGCCAACTGATTATCAGGCGTAATAGGAAATGAGCATCATCCCAGGGTCAAGACTAAGATGAATGTGTAGGAAATAAGGCAATGCAGGAAATGTATTATTAGACTCTCTGTAAAGCCTTTGTTTTCTGCAGAGAAAGTTTTTAGTTTTGCACAAACTCGTGCGTTTCACCCCTTGTAGCTGTTTCAGCAGGTGAGTAAATTAAATCTGTGTGGTCGGTGGGGTTAGGACTGACTGTTCAGTGGTCAGAGTGAGCTCTTCCAAGAAGAAAGATATGAGGCACTGTGGAACATAAAGCCAGTGAACCTGTGGCCATCTCTCTAAGCCTGTGCTGACGATAAAGGCACTATGTCAGCAGAGAAGCTTTTGTAGACACAAAAATTGCAGGTACCATGAGCAGGGTGGCTGATTACAGCTTGCTTCTTGGTATCTTAAAGCACTGTTAGGAACTGGACTATATAACAAATGAACTCTCCGTGTCCATTTTTTGATGAGAGCTGATGGGATTAAACTAAAACAAGTGTAGATTTACCAGAGCTTTCTGCTGGGAAGTGCTGTGCCAGGCTGCACCGCCTGCAGAAATGTTACTGCCTGTGACTGGAAGCAGTGGGACAAATATCTGTCAGCAGTGTCTTGCAGATACAACTGGCTTTGCCTTAGGGCAGGGGGACAGTCTAGATGATCTTCTGGTGTCCCTCCCAGCCCCAGCGTTCTCTGTGTGTGCTTAAACTTCAACTGTTGCATAAAAATTTCTTCTGGGAATTGCTATCAGCTCAACCTCTGCCTTCTCCAAGACCATTTCTGGGAAAGGAGAGCAATGTGGGAGAGGCCAGGGAGTGCTGGGCAGGATTGCTGCCTGCTGCTCAGCCCAACAGCAGCCTTGGCCTTTCTTCAAAGGCATTGCTGTCACCCTTCTTAAAGGCAGAAAAAGGGATCCTGGCCAGAGGCCAAGCACAGCAAGTTAAGAGACAAACAAAAGAGAGTTGTGTGTGTGCGTGGAGGAGAATGAGAGTGCTTCCTACAGTTCAGAAAAGAAAAAAATCACTTGGCCCTTCTAAACCAATAAGTAGTAACTAGCTGTATGGAGGTGCGTTCTGCAGCACGTATGCATGCTGCGAAAGCAAACCAGAATTGGAAACGGGGCTCTGAGGTGAGGTGAGGTGATAGCTGGTAAACAGCAGGCAGGCACAGGTCTGGGCTCGGAGTTCCTGAAAGGTGTGTGAAAGCTTTAGTCATCTCCTGGTTGGGCATCCAGATACTCCGTTTTTGCAAATAAACACAGGACAGAAATTTGTAGACATTTTCTGAGCTCACCTTGTGAAGACGTCTCTACCATGAGATTAGACAGCTCTTCCCTGGTTCTGCCGTCTGCACCAGAGCCTTTTGGGTGTATCTGAAGGTGCATTAAGAAAAGTGTGTCCAGCAGGTCTAGGGAGGTTCTCCTCACCCTCTACTCTGCCCTGATGAGACCACACCTGGAATCCTGTGTCCGGTTTGGGGCAGTTCCAGAGAGACAGGGACCTACTGGAGAGAGTCCAAGGGAGAACTACGAGGGGGATCAAGGGACTTGAACATCTCTCCTATGAAGAGACACTGAGAGACTTGGGGCTGTTCAGCCTTGAAAGGAGATGGCTGAGAAGGGACCTTACATAAAGAAGTATCTGAGGGGTGGGAGTCAAGAGGAAGGGGACAATCTCTTCTCAGGGGGCCCAACAACAGAACAAGAAATAATGGATTTGAGTTAGAACATAGGAAGTTCCACCTCACCATGAGGAGAAGCTTGTTGGCTATGCGGGTGCCGGAGCCGTGGCCCAGGCTGCCCAGAGAGGGTGTGCCGTCTCCTGCTCTGGAGACCTTCAAAGTCGGCGTTCCTGTGTGGCTGCTCTGAGTGACCCTGCTCTGGCAGGGCGTTGCACTGGGTGAGCTCTAGAGGTCCCTTCCAACCCCCAACATTCCATGAGTCTATGATTCCTCTGTGCTGGCTCTGCCAGTCCAGAGCCTTGGCTGTGGGGTGGCTCAGGGCATGGACAGAACAAGGTCGTAGCAGCTCAGATCTGAGTCCAAGCAGCTCAGCTCACTTTATCTCTGGGTTTCTGTAGCACCTTCCAGGTTCAAGGCTGTGCTTCCCTCAGCAGCACCGTGCCCAACGCCAGCACCCCATAGGTTCAGCTCTTCAGGGAGGAGGCCATCAGGTACTCGTCAGCTTTGTAACACTCTCTTTGGATTTTTTACCAAGCTTTATGTACAGCTTATGCCTGAGGAAGAGTTGTGGCATTCACAGAACTGCATAGGCTATTGGGTTTGCGGTGATTATTGATTTATAAGTGGAAATTTAAAATCAGCGTTATAGCCTTAGGCTTTACCTTCCTACTGTGCTGTCAATCTGTAATAAGTATTCTGGAAGAATACTTTATGCCTTAAGCCAGACTGCATGTTACCAATTTAAAATTAACATTTTGAATATTTACCTAACATCTGACCAATAGTAGTATTCCTCTGAGCACCGTGGTTCAAGGAACATTGAAGAGTTTTCGGCTCAGGAAGTACATGTCTGTTAAAGGAAAGCCAAATGAATATTCCTTACCTGAAATGCATTCTCAGAATAGCAAAAAAAAATCAAAACAATGAACATCCCAGGGAAGCCACATACATTTAGAGAGACAGCCTGCTTTCTCCATGTGCTCATTGGCATTCACTTCGTGCTCTTCTAATTTGTGTCAGTTTAAGGTAGATTTAACAAGTGCAAGGAAAAAAAACAAAGAAAAAAAAAGAAATCTTTGGGCTGAAGCTAATGTAAAAAGTACAAGCCCCTGAGAATTCCTTATCTGATATCTAAGAAGCATAGAAAACATCTGGGTTATAACAGAAAGGCTTCTGTAAACTTAACTTTGGAGTAATTTGTGTGGTTGTGCAGCAAAAGGGGATATTTTAAGGCTTTTTACATAAAAAGTGATTTCATTAATTATTGCCATTACTTTCAGTTCTTGTGTTTCAGTCTTTGAAGGGGTCTTGGAAATTACTTCTTGGGAGAAAAAGTCTCCAGGGACCAGCGTGGAATTTAAACTCTGTTGGATCTATTCTTTAATGAGCTTCCTATAGCTTTTACTCTCAAAAGATACCAGCAAGATGTGTATCACTTGTGTATGAGCTACAAATGCCTTAAAGACCTGCTACTTTAGCAAAATATAATTTGTATATGTATATGGGTTAAAATATAAACCCCAAAATTTGTGGCACTCCAGGTCTTTTAGTGATTCAAATATCTGCTATGGAAATCATACAAATCCCACTGTAAAAATTTGAGGGTTCGCTGTAGAAATATTATCAATAAGCAATATTTAATATTAACACATTGTTCTCTTTTTTATGCATATGTTTCATTAATATTCCTCTAGCTCTTTTGATCATAAACTGTTCCTAGTGAAAAAGAAGCATGTAAGGAGACTTAAAGAGATTTACAAATCTTTTCACTGAGATTGCAGTATCTGAAAACTAAGGAACTAGGCTGAGCCAGCAAGGCCATTTCAATATTCCACTTGTTTTCCAAGAATCTCCCTAATGTTTCCACTCTCAGGAGTGAAAATATTCTTCCTGACAGCTAGATAAACACAGAAGAGTTCTGGTGAAACCCAAGGCGTTAGTCTAGATTTATACCACTGCAACTAAAAGCAGAATTTAGCACAAACTGTGGAGGAAGATTAAGGCAATTAGCAGTGTTTGTTTATTGAATAATTTTGGAAAAGCACTTTTTATGTGCTTTTTCATCAAAACTGAGCACAGGTATCTCCCTGCGGGTTGAAATTGAGTGAGTTCCCCTGGAGTAGCTGAAAGCTTGACATTTCTTGAAAGCCTTAAGGGAAAGAAAATTTGTATTGTCTTCTGCCTCCTCTAAACCCCAGGGTTTATACTTGCCCTCACCCCCGTGTCTGTGTCCTTGCCAGCGGCATGCTCTTCTGGTTCATATATAGGTGACTTACACAACTCACTTATGAGAAGAGCTGAGCACACTGGAAACGTGTTCATCCTTCCCTCTTACCAAAAGTGCTCCTTGATGCGAATCCATTTCCCCTCTCCCGACCAGTTTAGTTAGGTGTTGATGGGAATCCAGGAAGCCACTAAGGACAGCTAGCTGTACCAAGCTCACTCAGGTGTGATCCTACTGCAGCTGCCATCCCTTTGCAGAGTTCCAAGACTTGCCGTAATGAAAGCTTCTTTCCTTGTCCTCTTGCAGAACGTGTTTCTCTTACCGGGATGATTTGTTGTGGCTGAACCTCCCGGCGATAGATAGTTGAAATGCCAGGCAGGCTCCTGGGATAAAGCCATTTGTTTCATCTATCTTTGCACTTCCACAGACAGAAGCAGGTTTTCATCATGCTGATAGAGCAGAGGATGGAGGGGAAAGGGCCACTTTGTAGTCTCCTCCAGTCCCCTTTGCATCCGGCAAATGATAGAGATCATTCCTCAGGTCTGCCCTACTTCCCACACCCCATTTCTTTCACTGTCCTTGTATTGTGAGGTGAAATACTTCATACAGACCTGGAGGAGTGCATGCTTTAGCCATAAGCTTACAGCTATAAATCATGGAGGGCTTTTGCACACCCGTTCAGCAGACCCCCACTTACCTCATTGCACTGAAAGTACAAATGGAAAATGCAGCCAGCTTGCACCCTGCAAA